ACAAATGTAGGTGTATTCAGTGGCACTTCACAATCAAAAACAAAACTAATCCACTGCGTCCTCAGTGACTCTGATATCGGGAGAAAATGAAGACTCTTATGTTCACTTTTACATGCAACTACAAAACACCTGCATTGCTTACAAGGCACTGTTGTCGCTACACCTGCTTGAGCACGAAGAAAATGGCAGACAGCATTCAACTGGCTGAGGGCGGAAATATGCTAATATGGGACAATCCGTCAGCAGCCGTGGACGGGGCCTGAGCAGTATGACGTCATACTCAAAACGGCTAGATAATTTAGACTGTTTAGGTTTTTTGGGGGATTAAAAAAAAAAGTGAATTGATTTTTATCATTGTAGGGTGGTTGTGTCCACACACTGCTAAGACACATTTATATGCAAACACCATGTAAAAGTTGAGTGCATCCGATGTCCCCTTTAAAAAATAAAGCGTATACATATTAATTAAAAAGTTATCAAATAAGCATGTGTCCTATTCTGTGTCCTAAACTCCAGAAACAATGGTGCCTCATATTTTAGAGCAGTCAATGCTATTTGGAAAAGAAATCAATCAAATCTGTATTTGTGTGAAAATATTTAGATGTAACCCCCTTTGTAATCATTAACATTTTCATAAGTAACTGCAATTTAATTACACATTTTATTTATTTTGTAATTAAATTATGTAATATCGTTACATATAACTAGTTGCTCCCCAACACTGCTTATTGGTTAAGTCTGCCCCTGGCAGTGGCTTCACTTCTTATAAAATCATGGGCAACACAGTTCTCTATATTAGATAAATGGTTTCAAGGCACTTCATTGGGATTTACTGACCCAAAACTCTTGGAATGGTTATGTAAATGTAGGGATCCATGCATTTGAATATTTTTAACAATTTTATAAAATTTACAAAAATATTGTTACATGGTGGCACTTGTAATAGTGACACAAGAGGTCAAAAAAGGGTGTTGTGGTTTATAATGTGCAATTAGATTAAACTTACCTGAGGGGTTCCTCCAGCCCTGCTGCATCCCTTCTCTCCCTGTGGTTCTCCTCCTAATGGGAGGACCAAGCCTATCTTCTGCCCCCTCACCACCATGTCCAGCACCGATCTGAATCACCTGAGAGAGGGCTGTAATGATGCACCTGGATTCCAGAGGTCTCAGTGAGTGCATGCCCATTCTGGGAACTGGCATTACCATCTGGCATTGCAGCAAGCTGTAAGTGCATGAACGAAATATTGTAAAAAATGCGGGACATAGATTGTTACACACATTTTAATTAGACTTAGTCAAATTTTAGACCTTAACAGTGTTCAGCTGTTCCAATGAGTCACAGAAGATTTCACTCTCTGAGTCACTAGCCAGCCCCTGAACCTCAGACACATGTGCCTCTACACACATATATGGCGATGAAAGAGAAGAAATATAGTGCACACAATCTTGGCATTATTTATTACTTATACAATTGTCAAATGTTTAAACAGGAAGTTTGGTGGGACATGTCTGGATAGCGATCATAACCGGTGCAGGTTCCAATATAATAATAAAAAAAAAAACAGAAGTGTAAATGATCAGAGTAAAATTGCAAATATTTGTTTGTACAAGCTTAAAACCCAAATTTTCCATTGTAAAAAAAAAAAAAAAAAGTGTTTTGGTGGGCTGTAAAATATTCTGCATCCCTCATTTATAGATAATCATTACACTACCTGTACTCTCAGATTGAAGTTCACTTTCAGGAACCATCCCTGTGTCCTCCTGTTGAAGAGCTGGTTCTTGAGTTGCCTTCTCCACTTCATGATCAGCCCAACCATAAGTTGGTTCTCTGGCATTTACATCTTTAAAATGCACACCAAAATCATAGTTTTCATAGTAATCATAGTAGTTATCACATAGAACTCATTGTATTTTACCAAAATAAATAAATAAATGCACACCTGATCTAAGAGATAAAAGTGCCTCTGGAGGTCTGGGCATATAATGAATGGCATAATAGAGAGGTTCAAAATAATGGAAGAAGGATGCAGGCTTCTCATTGATTTGCATGGTGTCTATAACCTCAGGGTTTCTACAGACATGAACAAGTTAAATTTAAGATGTTTTAAGACCTTTTTAATACCACCTTATATGAAATTTAAGACCTAAACCTGTAATGGAAGTACACATTATATTACATACATATATGTAATATTGAATGTGTTTAACGTAAAAAGAAAACAAAATATCATCACTGTAATAAATTATATTTATTACTAAAATACACAGTGAACTTTTCATATCAGAAGACAATATTCCATTCAAAATATCCCCACAAAAGCACTGCATCACCAAGATTTTTGGTGGCACAAACAGTTTATTCTGAAGGAATATTTTCATCAATGTTCTATCAACTTAAATCTGCATATTTTTATTTACCTTTACAAAGGCTTATTTTTACAAATGCATAAATAATGTTTTGATATATTAAACATAAAACGTTGAATACTGATATTTGAAATTATTTAAATAATAAAAAGGTACTTTAAATGTGAAATTAAAACCGCCAGTAGGTGGCAGTGGGTCACTGTTAATAAGTGAGTCATTTAAATGTTTGATCATTAAGGAACGAAATACCATCATGTTGCTCAGAGACGCAAAACAGTGCTGTGGCTTTGTTTGGAATTATTTCTGTTGTCGAAATAGTGCAAAAACAGGCAATATGGTGTCTAAAACGTAAGTCTCTTAATTAACTTATAGTTTATCGCACTGTTGTAAAATAAAAAAATCAATAACACACTTGTAATCGTGGTCAATTTGTGGAGAAAAAAAAACGTACTCTTCATGTGAAATTGATTAACTATACGCAGTTGTATAAATATTTAGGCCTACATTTTCTGCCCCATGTATTGAATTTGTGATCATTCTGAATGTATTTTAATAGACTGAATCATGCAGTGAAAGAGCGCACTGTAAATGCGCATGCTGTAACGGCCACCTACAGGTGTCTTTCATGTTGTGAACCTGCAACCATTCCGTACCTGGGATTCATATAATGGCCCGCAGCATGTGACTTCCGAGAGTTGCGTTAAAGGAGTTCCTGGTGACTGTTCATTTCAGGATGAGGTGCCTGGGGACGACTGTGGACAGGCAGTGGTGGACGATGCTTTTGGCCTGACAGACAATATGGGAAATGTTGATTGTTTACCTCACCAGGAGGTTGACATAACCTCTAAGACCGAAAATTTTTCTGTCAGTGACTGTGACCTTGACAGGCATTGCTATAACTTGAGACCTAGGCTGGCGCCAAGAATCACCTCTGGGTGGTCAACTAACAGGTGGACAAATACATACCACACTGACAGACTAGACCTTAAATGAGGCAGTAAGCACGCCAGTGAAAGCTCATTGTTCTCTATTCAACACTGCAGAGTTTGTCTGTTGACATGTTACATGTTTTGATGTTAAAAACAAAGGAAGTTGTAAAAACCAGAAAAAGTATCCCATTTTGCATCTGTGATGGGTTAGGTGCTGTTTTCTTTTAATTGAAATGAGTCGCTGCAGAATATGTATGTTGGTTCAACTGTACTGTCATGTATGCCAGTTGCTGCCATGTCAATACATGCCCCTATGTGATCTGACACTCTTTACAACTGTTCATGTATGAGGTTGTAAGGTACTATTGTTACTCAGTTGTGCACGGCTGAGGACAGCCTTTGTTTTCCTGGGGGGGATCTGTAACGGCCACCTAATTTGTTATGTACCTTTAAGGCATCTCTTGTGATGTCATGCGTTGTCTAGGTGGGTGTGCCTGGGTAACGTTTGCGCTGGTGATATAGCGGACTGTATCTAGTATACTCTGCTCCAGAAAGCATCCTGATTCTTTTATTATTTTTATTTGTAATTCTGCCAAAGTGTGTCTTGTAATCTTCCCCCCACTCTCCCCCATGTATGCGGAGAGTGCGAGGATAATTTGAAGCTACGTATAAAGACGTATGGGATCACCAACTCTCGTCTATGAGTATTATTTTCCTTCTTTTATTCCTGACATCTGGGCAAATCCTAAAACACTCTGGTCGACGTTACAATGCGCACTAGACTTCACATAATGTGTGCACTCTGTAGGTGTTTTGCATGCTTTTTGCGTCGTAAGAATATTCAGCAAAATAGCTCACTTGTCATGGTATGTTACTTCACTATATCATGTTATGAATAAACTAAACATTTAGAATTTTTAACTCAGTGTGTTTCTTCTGAGTTTCTTTATGTGTGCTGTTACGCTCATTTGTTTTGAAGTCTCTCACAAAAAGACAGAGTGAGCTTCAACAGCACGACCTTGATACCAGAAATACATACACTATCCATTATAAATCGCTGTTTACATTGAATGTAGTTTAATAAAATTAGAAGAATCATTCTCGCATTTCCATGATTCGCTGGTTATTATTATTTTTATTTTTTGTCACTTATGTTTTAATCGGGTCCGGTCGAAAAAAAAACATTTTAAACTAGCTAGAAGGCTGATCAGCTGTAGCTCGACCTATATTTTTATTGATATTATTGAGAACATTAAAGGTAGTTCGACCTGTTTTCTGCTCCTGCGATTCTCTCTGATGATGCAGTAACTACCGCGGGGGAGAAAAAAATCTTCGGTCTGTCCAATGATTGTAAACAATCATTAGGTCCGTCAGACGTAAGATATTTTAGCGGTAATGTAACCAAAAAATATTTAAGACCCATCGAATCTGAATTTAAGACATTTTAAGACTTTTTAAGGCCTTTTATTAGGAAACCGTTATTTAAGACTTTTTAAGGACCCGCGGACACCCTGAACCTGTAATTAATACATGACAGCAAATTTATTTATATGGAAACAAATAATTTGCTTGGCCGCTCTGACAATACATTTCATTTAGAGAACATTTTTGCTAAACTTACTTTTCCCTCAAGTTGTTTATGAATATCTTATATTATATATTATCGAAGCTCTCCCACCTCTTGTGCAACTTCCTTCATTTCATCCACATAAGCAGCCATGGCACTCTCCCGACTCATGTCTCCAAGCTGATTCCAAGCATCCCTGACACAAGACCAGAAAAACATGCCATGAAGTTAAACCAGTCCTTTAAATGTTCTGAGGGCTCTGAAGACCATCACATGTACTTTAGTTAAACACATTATAGCACTTGAATATGATGTTTATTACTTCTTAAAAGCATTACCATTTGTAACGGCCTACAGGGTCCCAGAATCCTGGGCGTGACGCTGTACATGGGCCACAGACTACCTGTTTGTAGACCATACAACTGCAGCATCACTTCATAAGAGGGTATGTAGGAACCTGTGCAAGTGCAATTTAAAATTGACCCCTGGAGTCATGAACTGCTGCAAATAATGCAAATCAGTGTGATGAGGTAGACTTATATAATTTATAGAGATGCTTGCAATAACAAGCTGTGTACATTTGATATCTGCTACAAAAGAATGATGTTATTGTACATAACAGTAATGATGCCATTCACCAATAATGTATTTTTTGCAAATGCTGGGCAAAGCTACCATTTTTAATGGTACACGTTATAATTAATATATACACGTTAACTTTACTCCTGCTGCCATTACACACGAACCCTACCATATAATTTTAATAAGACAATATAATGACCGATCACATTACATCAAAGCGGTGCACCTTGTACAATCAGCGAGTTTGAGAACTGCATTATGCTGTCTTCTAAAAAAGGGGATCTTTCACCACCACTTGGAATTACGGCCAGGAGATCACTTCCTGGTTCAGTCACGTGATGGAGTATTACGACGATGATTGGCCTCTGTTCCAAACTAGAGATAAGAAAGAGAAAGAAGCTGAGAAAATCTGTTTGAAAAAAATATATATATATATTTTAGCCTACAAAAATGCAGTTTTACGTCGTCAAAGTTAACTTGTAAATATGTTTGACAATTAATTACTCACTTAATTAGTTAATATTAAAGAAGGTGTGGGATTATTTTATTATTTTGACAGCCTATTTTAACAGTAAGAATAAAAAAAATGCATATCGTTTTGTGAGAAAATATTTATGTTTTAGTGTTTGCCTTTAAACGTCTTTCAGTGGCGATTCTCACTGTTGGTGCGTTTAGCTTGCACACTTTAAGGCAAACATATTTTCTGAAAACTGTTTGGATTTAAATAAAAATGTCAAATGTATGCATTAATCATTACTGTAGCTGGCAAAGCATTAATACAAACGTTAAACTTGTTTTGTACCTTACGCTTGAAATAATTAATTTGATCAGTTTCGAGTTGGTTGTTTTTTAATGTTGAGATCGCTAGAGGGAGACATGTTGTTAATCCTAATCCCAGCACAGGTTCGTCTGCACATCGCAGTATTTGGTAAGAATTCATAATGTAGTCCAGCCATTTTCAACTCGTTTTTAATAAATTGTCGGTGTATTTGCGTTTTGAATTGAAGATATAGTAGCTGTATTATTATTTATTTTTCTGTGTCTGTGTCTAATCCCATTTAAACGAGCTGCTCTTATAAATCGTTGTTTATGATTCAGCGCTAGAGCATAAATAGGACAAGAACATCTTTATTGGACACCTAAATCTGTGCTTTATATGCTTTTAAGCGGCACCAGTTTCTATCGTTATATTGATGTAGATTAGAATTTTTGTACATCGTAGACTGAAATAAAAACCGAAGCCAATGTAAAGTGATGTCATATAACAGTAGCAGCTCTTTAACATTCGTGAGCTCATTAGACAGGGGCAGTGTCTATTCTGTTTCCTGACATATATACAGATAGAGCTGCATCAGCACAGCACACTATCTAGACAACCATCCGTTTATCACATACACTCTCCAGTTTAAGACGCAAGAGGATCTACTGCATCATGTTGAGAAAGAAGAATGGAGCTGGGACGTCCCAACTTAAACCAGACGATCCCCTGATAAAAATGGGTAAGACATTATTATTATTATTATTTTTATTTTTTTTAAGGTTTCACACACAGTTATATTTATTTTAGTTTTGTATTTGTGTGGGCTCTACCACAATGGGCAATTCTCATTTCACTGATCATTTCATTGGTCATGGTCAATGAAAATGGCTCTTTTTATGACATTTGAGTTTTCCTGGCTTTGGCCTTTGGCATTGTCTTATATAGTTAAAGCTATAAACTATATAAACCAATAAAATATATCTAGAAAAAATATATTCTAGATATACCACAATGTCTCAAATTGCTGTGCCTTTCCATGAAAGGGACTGACTAATATGTTAAGCAGATACAATAGTGAATCCTCATAAAGAACTAGCAGAGGAATTAAATAAAATACCCCTTTGGGATCCATTTCAAGAGGTTATTTATCACTTCCTGGAATAAATTGAGAGCTAATTGTATTGGGACTTAGTAGAGTGCTCATAATAATTCAGACAATTAAATTCTGTAAGGGGGTTCAAAATAGATTGCTGTCATTTTTAGTATACAGTGGTTGACTATTAGTCATGTGACTATTGAGCAAGCTTTAAACATTGCTATAACAAATATGCTGTATTTTTGAAGCTGCACTGGTGTTTTTACCAGATTGTGAACTTTTAGCAAATTGTAACTTGTGCTGTTATACAGTGGTCCCTTTTTTTGCCAAATGTATGCAGTTCAAATATCTTTCTTTCTTTCTCTTTCTTTCTTTCTTTTACTTTTTGACTTATTGCAGTTTTTTAAGCCACACAAAACATTGGTAAAATTGTGGTGAAATTATTTTTGCTTTCACTCACATTAAGTGATGTTATGGTTACATGCTAGTGAATATGCAGACTTGTTTTGATTAGTTACATGGAGAAAACTGTGGTAATTCATTTGCTCTGAATAAATGGCAGCTCAAATGCAAATGCTGGATTTCACTGTTTGCTCAGAGCTTGTAGTTTTGTTGCATAGGAATCTAATATGATTTTTAGAGTGTCACAATCATCAGATTTATTTATTGAACTCTGCAGGGGTCCAGCATGATGATGATGTGGAAACGATGCTACAGGGGTCCTCTATGACGAAGGTACGTTCTCCACGCTGGAAGAGGAAGCGCATGCTAAAGCTGATGAATGACGGAGTCACTGTCTGGTGTGAATCCAACAAGGCCACCAACAAAGCCAAAAGTCAGCAGTCCTGTGAGTTGTCATCGTGTGTTTATTTATTAGAAGAATTTCTGAGTAGTTTCCCGAGTGTGATAATGTTAAAAATAAGGTTTTTATGAAGCAGTAGGTGTGTAGATGATAAGTGATGTTCTGTATTCTGTGCTCTGGAACTGTAAGAGCCCCTCCTGGTAAATACACCTCCTATTTATGGCTGTCTAAACAGGCTTCAGGTCTACTGGCCGCAGCACTGACGGTCATTACAGGGCTGGTCTATTTGTAGTTCAGATGGGGGGTTTCTCTAAGCTTCACTGTACACTCTAATTACAGTCTGTGACTGGGTGGGAAGAGAGCAGCCCTTCACTTTATGGTTTGCTCCATATAGTTAACATGAATTTATTATAATTGCCCTGGCAACTGTGCCCATGGCTTAAATTAGAATTTTGCTGTATAATTGATCTTAGTTAGAAAGATCATGTTTTGTGATGTGGCTGAGACATGTGCGTGAACACCCACTATTTTGAAGAATGTTGGTAACCAAACAGTTGCCGGTAGCCATTGACTTCCATAGTATTTTATTTTATTTTTTTCCCCCAGGTTTAGAACAAACTTGAGGGTGAATAAATGATGACAGAATTTTCATTTTTGGATTAACTATTTTTTCCCTGGGGTTTAGTGTACAGTGTGAAACATCAGTTTATGAATATTATGAATGATTTAATAAAGCTATAGTCTGATGTTGGTCTGTTGAAATCCACCTCTCAAACTCAGATGAACAGACAACACCTCTCAGACTCAGATGAACAGACAAACACCTCTCAGACTCAGATGAACAGACAATCGCGTATCCCCATTTTACGAAAGTCTTTTCGTCAACTTTTAGCTCAAGGCAAAGTGTGGGGGGGGGTCAACATTTTAATTCATAAGAAACTTTCTTTTACTCTCAATAATACATTGACTGATGCAGAATAATTATTTTATTATTCTTTTAACCATTTATAATAAATCATTTACGATTGTTAATTTATATGGTCCCAAAAAAGATGACAATTTTTTTCCCTCCTTTTTCCACAAATATCTAACTTAGCTATTAATTCAACAATACTGTTCGGAGTTGACTTTTATACAGCTTTAGACTGTATTGGATTGGATTGGTGCAGTTAATACAAGGTATTCATAATCGGCAACAATAATAAAGCAATATATGAAACAACTGGGCTTTGGCGACCAATGAAGAATAAAAAATAAGACAGCAAGAGAATACTCTTTTTTTTCTTCTCAACATAAGTCATTTTCTCAACATAAGTCATTAGTATTAGTATTATTTTAGTAATTCTAGTATCAAAAATATTGTTAATACTAAAATAGTTAGTGATCATGCATTTAAATCACTAAATTTACAGATTGCCCTAATATTAAAGCTCCCTCTGTACGGCATTTCAACACTTCACTAATGGAATATTCTAATTTTAACAAACTCTTTAGAGATGAATGGGATTTTTCTTTTCTCAAAGATAATTAATGACACCCCGGCCCCAATATTTCAGCATGCCAATTTGGGAAACTTGGAAAATGGTAATTAGGGGTAAAATTATCTTATACCTTTAAGAAAAATCAAGAATATGATTTAGAACAAAATTTTGCAAAATAAATAAATACATGCATACATACAGTGCACAGCATAAATGAGTAGACTTCCTCTGAAACCTAAAAAAATTCAGATATAACGTTCCAGCAAGTTTGCTTGATCAATTATCAAAGAAGAATGTCAAAATTATTCAGGAAAATAAGATTTTCTTATCAAAGGGATAAAATGTTGTGTTGCAAAAATTAGTACACCCTCCTGAAAGTTACTATAAAAAAATTCTGGTGTAAGTTTAAGGCAATTTTTGATCAACTGATATGTTGAGCCAAAGCTTTTAAAGAGAAGTAATTGCTTGACAAATAAAAGTGTAAAAGACTTAATGATGACAATGGAACCACTTGGGGGAGAACTGTTAGGAGACTTATTTCTTCGAACAAAAGAGGACACTGGCCAAAAGGAACATCAAATCATTGTTTTAAGTGTGAAAATATAGCAAAATTAACACAGAAATTTAAAAACAGAGAAATATCAGAGCGGGAGAAATATCAAGAAGGTGTCGCAGAGCCAGCAAAAGCTATGAAAAGAGTGACTGTTTATCTCAGTGTAAGATACAGCCTGCAGAAGTGAAATGCATGGTTGTTGTCCAAACTGGAACTGATCCTACTGTAACCAAAGCACAATAAACTCATTTAGCCTTTTCCAAGGCCCATATACATTTCTGGGAATCCATTCTCTGGTCTCGTGAGACCAAATCAATCATTTTGGATCTAACAGCTTCCAAAATGTTATGGGGTTGGTAGAGGAGGGGTACATTAAGAAGTGCCTGGTTCCCACAGTAAAGTTCAGTGGTAGTAAAGCTCTTATATAGGGATGTGTGAGTGCTGAATATGTGATTCACATTAGGGGTTGAACGACTTCTGATTTTTTGAAGTCGACTTTTATGTGATGAAAGTCGAGTCGAAGTCGACTAGTCGCTGATGACGTCATTAATGAACAAATAAGTCTGGGGCTGTGATAAACACCTTGTGCACAGCTATGGCATATGACACA